AGCAAATGTGGGATTGACACTCACGATATGACACGACTTATTTCCTTGGACTCTGTTCCCGAAATTGAAGACTTCCGGAGGAGGTAAGATTTATTTGTTTGTTGCTATTTATTTAATTGTATTTCTTATAAACGATTTTTTAATTATTAATATTAACATATTTGTAAAAGGTTTGATAATGAACGTGTTCGCCCTATGGTAGTTAATTCGAGGAGTTCAATTGTGGCTCGCGATGAAATTGACGAACATGCAATGAGAAATGTTGTGGTTGCTTCTGTCAATTGTCTTTAGGAAACCGAGCGGGTAATTAATGCCGTCATATATATACAATCAACTATAACATAAATTTTATATTTTTGATAATTTATTAAATTGAGCCTTATATTTTAATATCTTATAAGGAAACAAATACATGGATTTGTGCTACTATTCAATCTGAGATTGATGATTGGTACCACGCATGTCGCAAGTGTAGTAGTAATAATTCTCCTGTGCATCGCACGGGTACTGTACTAGTTGGGTAGAAGGGAATGGAGGGAGGGAATGTAACTTTATTACTCTCAATTCATTCACCTATCAATTAAAAATTATCATTCATTCAATTTAATTTCAATATATTTCGGCCATTTTTTTAAAAAAGTATTTTAAAATTAAAAACCAACCATTATTATACTAGAAATTTAATATTGATTCATTCACATATTTATAGCAATATCATTCATGAATAAATATTATACTTTATATCACATCAATTTATTTAAAAAAAATAAGTAATTTTTTTACCTAACAAATATTCATCCAACTTCATCTAATTCAACTCATGGATTATTTAGAATGTATATCCAATTTCACCCAATTGAAGTAGATATATATATATATATATATTTATATGGGTTGGTTCAAATAAAAATTATGTCTAGTGTGAGAACCGTGTTAACCATATTTGATGTTATTTTTAATATTGCATTGTGCTATATATTCACAAATGCCAATAAAAATTTTATTGTTATTTAAATAAAATAAATCTTAGTTAAAAATAGCATTAAAACACAATCAATCATAGCACTACATACAATTAAAATAGCGGTTCTCACTGTTCTCACGCTTGGACTTGATTCTCATTTGAACCACATCCTATATATATGTATATGTGTGTGTGTGTGTGTGTCAGTGTGTGTTGATCCAACATGAACAATCTGGTGACGATGGTATGATAATCTTTACTGTTTAAAACACTTAGAGCATGTTAATTTGCTTATAATTTTTTTTTGTTTATATTTTTTGATGTGGTTTGGTTATTTTTTAAAAAGGTGGTATGATTAGTATTAGTAGATATGTTAAGATAATAATTAAAATAAATAATTAAAATTAATTTGATGTAAAAGTAGGAGATAGATGATTTGAAATGATAGTTAAAATAATATGAGTGGATGAATAGTGAATTAAAGTTGATTTGGTGTGTATGAATGATTGATTGATATTATTTAATTATGTTGATTATATTGATGATAGTGAAGTTGAGTTAAAATGTTCGAAATTTTTTGAAATTTTTTCATAAAGATTAATAAGTGTTTTAAACAGTAAAAAATATCAAACCATCGTCACCAGATTGTTCATATTGGATCAACACACACACACACAAACACACACACACATA